AAGGCTGGTACACCGGAGAACAAGTAACACAACCCAAACTTTTTTACTGTATCAAAACAAGACTCTTTACAGTTGCTTCTCTTCACCACGACTGTCTCCAAACAGCATCCGCTGCTAACAGCTTCCTCGCAGCCTACGCAAAGTAGAACATGGACAGGAAACACACCCCGTCTCACTGCAAGTAGCATCTACCCACACTTCCCACAAGGCTGAACCCAGTCCCAAACGTGCAGGGAACCGTCGCTCGCTGCTGACAGTAAGGTTCTCGGTTTCTGCGGATGCCACGCGTGTGCCGTGACCAGGGGAGGGTCTCCGCCGCTGCCCGCTCCACCCAACGCGTGCCCTTTGTGAATAAAGATGGGTTCTGCTTCTCTGCCAGAGCCGTCCCAGCTCTGCGTGTCATACACCTGCACGGTCCCATCAAATCCTGGAGGAAAAGGGAATCAGAGAGACTGAGGAGTAAATGGCTTCGCTCCGGTCCTACCAGGCTCACGCTCCCCTCCCAGCAGGGCTGTCGAGACAGAAATGAGGACAAAGGCCCAGACAGTGACAGCAGAGCTTCCAAGCCTCCGAGGAGCTTGTCTCCAGCTGACAGCTGTCGAGGAGAACCCTGCCCAGATGCAAAAAGCTTGCAGATTCACTATGGGAATTTGCAACGCTCTGGCCACGAGGCAGCCGTGCTGCCCAGCTGGTCCCATCAGTGCAGCAGCCCTGGGGCCAGGCTGTCACTGGTGCTATTAGGGCAGCATTTGCTGAGGGCTCGGGGTCTCTGTTCTCCCGGGAGGGAAGTGGGAGACCCCCCAGAACCCATCCAGGCCCATTCTGTAGTTACTGGAGAGATGCAGCTGCAGAGGATGATTCGCTTGACTCTCTGCTGGCTCCAGGGACCAGCCCCTAACTGGGCTGTTTGAGGCAAGATGGGCTGAACCAGACCTCGACAGAAACACAGATCAAAAAAAGCATCCGGAAAAGGAGATCCCTACTTGGAAAAGGTAGATCACATACCTGAAACAGCCAGGCAGCCTTCCAGAGCAGGAGCCCAGGAGACGCACAGGAACTCCGTGCCGGAGCTGGGAGAGGGAAGTCTGCACTTTGCTGATGCCAAGGGCTCCGAGGTTTTCCTGGCATCTGTGAGGGTGAGGTGCCCTCCGCTCGAGAGGCGAACTATGGGCCGGGAGCCTGAGTCAGAGCCTTGAGGTCCGTGCCCGACTCCCAT